GCAGTTTTTCAAAAAGCATTCAGCTACACCAAAAAATTATGCGCTCTCCCATACACTGAAACCGAATAAGTCATAAACAAATGAATAACAGCTGCAGTAGCTGCTGGTTAACAATAAACTCAAATACCTCCGGTGGACTTTCAATTTTCACGTGCTTTACTCCCATTCGCATCAGTGTTTCTCAACGACTTCCAGAGAGACATCATAAGAACTTTTGTAAAACTAGGGTGACGGCCCCAATGTTTCAATACCTCCACTATTTTACTATATTTTAAAAACTGTCTCACTCACATCCTTTTGTTCCGACACTAGTTCCCAATATTCCTCTCAATACCTGCATAAAAAGTTTTCCAGATCTGAAGTCTACACGAGCGTACAACCTTCAGTGAAGTACCCTTACTAGCCTCAATATGTTCTGACTCAGTTTTTTTTAATTGGTATTTAACTTTATCAATTCTCTGCCTAGTTCCCCAACAGTAAGCTAATGAAAGTACAACAAAGGAGCTAGTGGGGAAGGTAACAATTTCCAAAATGACATTTCATCTTGATGACCTGACATTTTAGTAAGGTCACTAATTAACCCTCCCTCTTGCCCTAACTATTTAATAGTTTAACGTATCGGTCTTGGACTCAGATTACATATGTCAAAGGAGAATAAACTTACTGCCAATCAACAGAGGGGTACTTTTAGACCGGTCTTCCTGGTCTACACCGATAAAAAAATTGAAAGTTTTTCATATAACCAAACCTTATAAAGTCATAAAAGAAAAATAAATTAAGAAGCAGGAGGTAAATAAGAGACAAGGCTGAAAACGAACAAGAAACAGAAGAAAAGCAAGCGACTGATGGCCTTATAGACCACACAGCATAAAACTCAAGGTCATCGCGAAATACCAGTAGTTGGTACAACAAGAAAAAAGTAGTCTAATAACTTAGTTAAATTCGACTGATTTCCAGTCAACCAAAAAATGAAAACAGATTAGTCCTTTTGGTCAAGTGATGATATGCCAAAGAAGAAGAAAAAGTATATGAAAGAGACACTCAAACCACATAATTTACTAGTGATACTATCCTGCTTATAAATTCCAGCTAAATACAGACATTTTTTTTAACAGACGAAGAACACGATTATCCGCACAGAATATCTATATCAACGATGAACAAAAGAACACATCGCAAAATCAAAGAAATAGAAGAGGGGAAAAAAACTAGATCAAAAAGGAAAAGGAACTTACAGTGCTTCAATGTTATAATGACAGCTTGTGGTCCTCCAACTCGAGATTTTTGGAATAACTTTCCCAATTCGACTAAAAAATGATCGTTTTCCAACAAAGGCATTGTCTAAAAATAGATCAACTACTGTCTCTCTGCAAAAAAGAAACTGCTTTTACGCACAAATTATACCAAGCAATTCAACAATAAAAAATGACTTCTCATGCCTTACAATTTCAAACCACTAACTGAAAA